ACACAAGGACACGGCCATGGCAGCTCCGGCACCCAGGGGCCCTCCGCCGCTCCCAGAGCACCGGGCAGAGCAGGCTCGGGGGGGTCCCCAATTAGTGGCACCCCCCAGCGCCCGAGGACTGCCCGCAGGCGGTGTGATTTTGGACGCAGTGTCTCCTGTTCCTCCTCCCTCCAGCGCCTCCCCTTCCCCAGTGAAAGATAGCACAGCTCCTCCGTGTTGCTGCAGTTTCATAAAAACATACATAAATATATTTCCATTTCTTTAACAGAGAGCAAAGCTGCACAGGCACCTATAAAACACACAATCACTTCTCCACCCGGCCCTCCCTGCACAGGTCGTATAAAACATATAAAAGGGGGGTGGGAGAACAAGGCTGCAGGTGAAGCAAGGGTACGGTGCCACGCAGACCCTTGCTGGGGTGCGGGGAGCCGGGGAGGGGGGGTCCTGCCACACCTCTGGCCTCAGAACTTGCGCTTTCTCCGGCGGCAGCCTTTGGTCTGCTGCTGGCTGCCCAAGCGCAGAGCCGCACACAGCTCCACGTCTACCCTGGAGTCTGTGGCTTCTGAGGAGACGCTGGGTTTCGCAGGGGAAACGTCGACAGGAAGGTGCCAAAGGGAGCTGGGGCTGTCTGCCACCGGCCCCCCATCTCCGGCTGAGAGCATGGGAGGGGACTGTTGGTCTCCTAGTCCAGCGAGGGGGGTCCCCCCATCAGCACCTGCAACAAGAGTGAGTGTCAGCCCTGCCTGGCTGCCCTCCAGCATAAGCCATGGTTGCTGGGAGCATTTTCTCCCCCCTCGTCTCCTCCTGCACTTGGACCCGTGGTGGGAAGCACCAGCACACAGGCAGGGACGGGAGGCACCCCGCCGCCCCCCGAGAAGCTGGACATTTCTTGGTGCAACGGTTCAGAGCACACCCCTACCCCTGCGAGGGCTCTGGGCGCTGGCACAGGTCCTGTGGGCACAGGCAGGGATGCGTGCAGGCAGCTGGGGGAAGCCAATAGTCAGCTAAGCCCACAGCCCCCTGCTCTGCTCAGGAAGAACAGGCCCCTTCAAAGGGAATTTGCTGTCCGAGACCAGCCCAGGCTGAGCCAGGAGCAAAAGGAGAGAGCAGCCCTGACCCAACCAGGCAAGCACAGAGCAGCTTCCCACCTGCAGACTTGCTTTCCGAGAGCTCCAGCATCCTGAGGAGTCCCCTCTCCTGCCTTCCACCATCCTGCCAAGGAGAGAAGAATCACCGTCACAGTGCTGCTTCGAGGGAGCCCCGTAGCCAGGGTGGCCCCGTGGCCACACACTGCCCCAGCTCACGGGGTCAAGCTGGACACAAGTGAGAGTCCTGTGGTGCCAGGACCTCCAGCTGAGCACAGCCAGCTGCCAACGGGAAGGGCACTGCCCTGTGCCCAGCCTGACTGGTGCCTAAGCAAACATAGCTGAGGGCAGTTAACAAAGCAGAGCCCACTAAGGAGGGAGGCCAGGGTTCAGGAAGACATTCCCCCAAACCCAGCCAGCGAGCACGGGGTTGTAACAGAGAAATGTGGGCACCAGGGGCTCTGCCACAGCTCAGGCACATCCCCCAGCACTGCACCTCCAAGGGCGGGCTCCATCCCGCTCTGTCTGAGGGGCTTGCTGCTGGAGGGAAGGGCCTTCTCCAGGGCACAGCCAGACAAGGAACACAGATCTTCTGCCCCCTCTCAGCCCTGGGGAAGATTCAGCCACGCTGGTCATGCAGGCTCAGGGAAGACCACTTGACCTGGCTGCTTTGAGCCTTGCTGGCCCAGTAAAGTCCCCTCTCCTGGCTGCTCCCTGCCCCCAGAACTGCTCTGGAAGGCACTGGCATCCCATCTGCAGGGTTGGAGCTGCAAAGCACCCCAAAACGGGCCGTGGCAGGAACCCACCAGCCCAACAGTACCACTAGGAAGCTCTCAAATGCTCCAGCCCATGCCCAGGCATGGCCTGCCCTCCAGTGAGCTGTCACCTGAGCTGCCCCCTTGGCACAAGGCAGGGCCAGAGGAAACACAGAGCCTTGCCAAGCTGTCCCCAAGGGCCCCCCGGCTCCAGCACCTTTCCCCCATGCCCTGTGTCTATGTCTGTGTGTGGGACCCCACATGCCAGCCAGCTGTGGGGCACAGGGACAGTCAAACAGCCCCCACAGAGCCGGTCACATGCAGGAGCAGCCGTGTCCTGCAGCACTCTGTGAACCACACAGCATTTGGCTGTGTCCCAGCCAAAATCATCAACCAGAAATCTCATCATTTGCATCTGAATCCCCAAAGGGCTGAGGCCTGTGATGGATTTAAGGGATTATACGAAACTAAGACATCATGTTGCATCTTCATGCTGAGAATCACATCTCTGAGTGCAGGCAAAGCTGCAGCACTAGCGCTTTGCCCACAGGAACCAGTGGGAAGGCCTGGAAGGACCCTTTCTGTGCTCTCCCAGACTGCCACAAGCAGGAAAAAGCACAATGGGGGCCAACACCTGGCGGGTGACTGTGAGCCAGCTGCTACCCACACTCCTGCCTCCCACCTCCTCTAGCAAGGCACGTCTCCCACACCCGGCATATCTCCACTGCACTTGCTCCCCCACATTTCTCCCGGGATGCTGCGGTTTGGTCCCAGCACCAAGCAGCTCCCCCTGCTCCAGCTCTGAATGGGAAAGAGCTTGTGGATAGTCAGATACGCTTGTCACCCTGACACTGCCCTCCATCTATATTCAGCCGAGGAAGCCCGCAGGACTGAGGCACGCTGTCTGGCAGCGGGACAGCCCTGGCTGCCTGCCTGCTGGAGAGGTTACTGGCAGCTCTGCTGGATTAGCTCACCCCCGGGACTGGCCCATGCTCTAACAGAGCATCGTGGGAAGGAGGGCAGTAAGTTCTCTGGCCACAGTGGCCCACAGGGACCGGCAGTCCTACACCAGGTCAGCTCATCCCGTCAACCAGGGAAGCAGCTCCTGCTGCCAACCCAGCCCCAAACCCAGCACAAAGCAAAGGAGACAGACTGCAGGGTTGCCCCTCACCTTGGCTCTTCGCAGCCTCCTGGTTCCCTGAGCTTGCCTAGCAGCCTGAAGGCAGCTGTCCACATGCCTCTGATACTGCAGCAGTGGCACCAGTGATTTACAGAGGTAGCACTTCTCACACCTGCCAGGCAGCAAAGGACAGAGCACTGCATTAGGATTCGCCCTGCACCAGGCTCCCGGCCACCAGCAGTGACTTTCCTCCTCCAGACCACACCACAGAGAAGACATGTCACCAGATCGGGTCTCGCTCAGTGGGGTCAGGCTGGCACCAATCGCAAAGACTGAGTGATTATCAGTTTTCCCTGCCTGCTCCTCTGTACCCTGCTGCTGCAGCAGCGGGACAGTAATCAAATCTGCTCATCTAACTATCTCAAACACTGCTGATTTCTCCCCAGACATAAAGCACCCTGTCAAAATCCACAGAAATGAAGTGCGAGGGCTTTGCAAAGGGGAGTTGAATTTTGCCTGAAAAGCAAACCAAGTGTGTTAAATCAGAGACACATTTTACCAGGGCTGGATGAACTTGTCTGACTAGTAAATCAAGTCTTTCTCTGCACTGTCTCCATTCCACATCATGCCATGTTGGGAGAGGACTGCAGAGCATGTGCTCCTGCTGGGGGGCTGGTACAGTCTGTTCCTCAAACCCCCCCCATTTGTGTAGAAGATGCCCAGGCTCATGCAGAACAATTGAGTGTGCTTGGGATGGAAATTATCCTGGGTGAAATGAGAGGAAGGTCAGGTGTGGATTTATGCAGCTACACTCACTTCCACACCAGCTCTCGGCAGGGACTGAACCGTGCAGGAGAGGGCACCAGTTCTTCAGGAGGGGAGTGTCCACCTGAGGAGCTATTCAGGAATGGACCATCTCCAAGAAGAGACAAGCCCCCAGGGACCAGCCCCAGCAGCATTGTGTTCAGTTTGATAAGCAGTACTCTCCTAGTAAAACTCACCCCAGGCTCTAAAATGTGTACGGGAGAGCCCCCATCGAGCAAAACTCTGCAGTACTTTTCCCGTATTTTCTTTCCAGTCAGTGCTGATTACCCAGATAATGTGTCTAAACAGAAGCTGTCCTCTCTATAATTAGCCTAATTCCATTAGTGATGTTGCCATCCACTGTTTGTAACAGCAAAATTGCTTCCATAGCAGGGATTTTACTGTCAGATCCTCTCTTATGATGCTTTGTGTGGGTGGCAGGAGGAGGGGCTGCATGGGAAGAGATTAAACAAAGCCACTGCTATTCTGAAAGTCTAATTTAATTAAGAATATCACTACAGGTGCCATGTTGACAGCCTCCCTGTCCTAGCCTCTTCTTTTCCTGGGGTTACCAAGCTCAAATCTCCCATTAGGAACTGGCTGAGTTAGCAGCATTTTAGCTACAGCTCCCCCCACAGCAGCCAGAGACCACGCATCCCTGACCCACCATGGCTTGGGCTGAAAGAGAATTAGTGCAAAAATAAACAATCTGAGAACAGCAAATTCCTCTTGCATTGGTTTAAATATAGCCAGCACTGCAACAAGAGGCACCGAGGGAAGGCAATTTCTTAGGGAAACACTGCTGCAAGGCCAATGGCCAACAATTATACAGGAAGAAAGACATCCACAGGCAAGCTAGAACAGAAGCACAGAAACAGTCTTGGAAGAGCAGGCATACCTACTTACTTGTCAATGTTTAAAGATGTTGGGCTGCTTCCACCACTGGCAGCTTTACTTCTTGCCCCTCTCTGACTCCGAGTGAGCACTGGGGGAAGAACAGAAAGGGTCACCTGCCACCCAGCTCAAAAGCATCCCTAAAACATGTCTGAATGCAACAAGTTTCCATCGCTTCCACTCAAGGCTGTAGCAGAAGTGATGGCAGAGGCAAAGAAATGCTGGACTGGGATAGGCAGGGTCTTCTTCCTGCCGAAGAGGTAGCTGGCCAATTCTTTTTTTCTGGGGGGATACTGAAGAAGTTACTTTCCCTGGACTTAGAAGCCAGCTAGCCATTTCACACTGTAACTCGTCTTCTGCCAGAAACAGCTGTATCAACAGTATGTAGTTTACAGTAATTTTAAAGCTGATGCTCAGCACCGCAACAGCCTGGGAGAAGAGTTACACAGCTGCTCCAGCAGCACAGCACCACTCCCTGCCAAACTAAGCGCCTGTGCCTACTGCAGGGGAGGGAGCGCAGTGCCTGTGAGCTGGGGGGAAGGAGAGCTGCGGCGGGGGCTCTGCGGAGACACCAGCCCTTCTGCAGATGTGGTAGGAAGAGTGAGTCTTGCTGGGGAGGAATACAGCTCACACTAGAAAGGGAAGGTTGCAACAGTTAGCCTACACTCGCTGCTTTTCGCACTGCCCGTGTGAACTGGGGATGATCTGTACTGTTCTTTGTGTACAGCTCTGTGGGGCCTCTGGACGAAGATCTCTAGCAGGGTTAAGCATCAGTGGTACTGCTCTCCAGCGGCAGCGGGGAAGGGCCAGCTCAGACACACGTGGGTAGCCAGCAAGATCCCAGCGTGCTGATGATGGCTCCAACAATTTCTGTTCCTTCAACAAGCCCAAGCAGCCTTCCCAAACCTGCTCTCCAGGCATCTACAGGGAGCACATCAGAGCGTGGTCTCTCTCAGTTGAATTCCTCTCAGTGTATTCCTGTTGACACACAGCAAAGATCCTCGGGGAACATATCAGATAGCTTAGCTTGCTTCACCAGGGATGTTAAAGACTCTAGCTCCAAAACAGATGTTACAGTAAGCACTCCCGGGCAAGCTGGCTAAGGGGACAATGCAGGGAGTTATTTTACAGCCCAGTAACAGTGCTTTCCTCATTAAGAGAAAGGTCTGAATCCAGAGTGTAGGCATGGGAAACCTGTTATTGTTGGCACATCATCTGTGATAAAGGGATGCACAAAATTTTGTGCGGAACAAGTGGAATCCCTCAGAGTTTTAGCAAACCCCCTTTTCCAGAGTGTTAGGCAACCCCAACATCTCTCCATGACGCTGATACACGATGGCCTTTCCCTTAGTAGCAGTCAATGCAGCCAAAACCAGCAAATGCACTGCAAGATGCTCAGGAGCTGCTGGGGCTGATGGGAGACATCCACACTGAAGAAAAAATGCTCGAGAGTTTCCTAGGATGTGGGTATTGTCTTGTAGGCGATGACTGAAACCACAGCTCATTTCTGACAGGCACTGAAGCGGATGTCTCTCTTTAACTTAGCCTGGCCCAGATTTGAAGTGGCAGCCCGACGAGTTGGGCTGATAACCACGGCCACCCCCCAGGCCACTCAGCCTCCCAACAACCCAACTAACACGTGTGTTTGACAGCGTGGTGAAAGCTGCTCTCCAAATCAGCATGCACTCGTTAATATTCCCTTAACACCACCTCAGGAGCCTCGTGCACCAGCTCAGGTGTTAATCAGTTCTATTTTCTTCCAAAAGCAGTGAACACATCTGGCATAATGGGCCCATTAGAGATGTCTGGGACCAGCTCTGCAGCTGCCCAGGGAAAGACCCCCAGCTGTGCTGCGGGAAGCAGAGGCACAGGAGAGAGAACAGGGCCAGCTGGCAAGGCACGACCCCTGCCAAAACACACTGGCCACCTGCAGGAAGGGAGTTCAGAACACATGAAAGGGCTTGCCATGGGGGAAATCCTCACCACAGAGCAGTGCTGACCCACTGTGTGATAGGAGCCTTGTAACTCTCCCAGATGCAATGCTCTTCGCTGGGTCAGACACACTCTGTAGTCCAAGAAAAATCCTTTCCCTGGCTCAGCATTTCTCCTGGTTGACAAATCATCCTTGGCCTGCTTGGCTCCAGCTCACACCCTGGGGAAGAGGAGCAAACCCTTCTCAGCCCAGCCCCGCTATCAGCACGCCCACTCCAGGCACCTCCTCGGGCTGCCAGGTCAGGTCGGTGTGCGGAGCTGCGAGGCCACAGTCACCAAGCTCCTCGCCTCGCTGCACAACCCACCAGCTCCCTCCCCATTCTCACCAGCAGCCACACCACTTTCTGTGCAGGATCCTTTTGGTGTCAGGCTCGCCAGCATCTTCTCCTTTCTCAGAAGTGATGAAGCTTTCCTCCGCACCCATTCCATTACTCTTTCTGCTGTATCAGTGCCACTTCTACTGATGTCAGAAGCTTTTTAACAGCACCAGTGCTGCTGCTGAAGACTGACAGATGGATCATGTTGCATTTGAGGCTTGGAAGGGACATACCAAATACTCATTGTCCTGGGCTCACTTGGGAACTGAAGGGTTGGGAGCATGTAGATAGGGGGCAAGAAGAATAGAGTACATCTCAAAGCTTGAGACTATTTGCTGTACTCAGTAGCAGCCAAGACTTGCTTCCAGACCGAGACCAGCAGATTCCTGCGTTGGCAGCAGCAGCAGGCAATGGATGCGGCGACTGCAGCGGAGAGCCCCTCTCACACCAGCCGAGTGCATGAAGGAAGAGGGAGCTGGCACAGCACTTCCACGGCTCCACTCGTTCACTTGGAATTAACACCAGTCACTGAGCTGGAAACACAGGACCTGAACCTTCCCCAGCCTGGTACAGTAGCTAATGCAACAGCAGGCTCTTCTTTTTTATTTACGCAGAGCAGGAAAATGGAAATTCATGATCAGATTTTCACACTGCCCAGGTATGTGGTGGTCTGGGCATCCAGCCAGGGCAACCATGTACATATGCAGGGGAAGCAACTGTAACTCACCTTGCCCAGCTAACTCATTTGAAAACCTGTCCTTAAATATCAACCAGGCAGAGCTGGACTCCTGATAGATAACACTGGAAGACTCTGGTGCATGATTAGAAAAGGGAAGAGAAGTAAAACCAGGAAGAACCCAGCCTTTTGTAATTTTAAAAACAAAAACCACTGACAGCTATCGTCTGCAGGACTGCATAATCTGCCATTCTAGAGACATCAGGAGTAAATCCAATTAGTAAGTCCAAAACCAGACCAGGAACCCCTGACCCAGTGCACCAAAGGAAAACTGAAGCCATCTTTTTGTAACAGATCAAGACATGGCTTAGAGGGCAGAACTTTTATTTTCTCTCACACGAGGCCATTGCTGTGCTCTCAAGGAAGCTAGCAGCCAGCCAAGAGCACACAGTGCTGCAGCAGTAGAGAACAGCTTCTGGACCCACAAAGGAGCTGCCATTTGCTTCAGAAGACAGTTCTCCCACCTCTTTTTCCTCCCCATGCATTAGCTTTACCTATGGATTTTGTGCTAGTGGTGGATGCCAAGGTAACAGCCCTGCAAACAAAATCCTTTTGTACCTGTGCAGCTGTGCCCAGCTACTGTCTGGCCTCCGCTCAGAGCTAAACATCCTCCCTGCCTCTTCAACCCAAACCCCACTGACCAACCAGCCCATCAGCTGAGACCTCTCCGGGTGACTGTTGCCCTTGTACAGCCACTGGGAACTGGACCGAGGTGCCCCCAAGCCAACACCAGCGGGCAGGATTCTGCCCCACGTTACGTGCTGCTCCAAGTCCAGGAAGCCCGCAGTCCTGCAGAGTCTTGGTGCAAACAACACAGGTGTCACAGACTGTTATGGCTAATAAAGCCTGGTCTCTACAGGGAAAATACTAGAATAACTGGCAATAGAAAACCCAAATTACTGTGATTTTGTCCCAATACCATTGCTCTGCTTAGAGCCATTATTGTAGATGAAAATCCTTTTCATTCCATGCTACTTTTCTTACGGGGGGATTGTTCTGAACAAGCCAGAACAGCAGAGTAGCAATTCCAAAATAACTACCCTTACAAACATCCCCAAGGAGACCAGTCTGGAAGCAGAGTGGAGAGGCCAGCCTTGAACTCTGTCCTGCTGAAAACCAACACCAAAGGAAAGAACAAATTCCCTTGCACTGCCAAAGAATTCAAAGCTTTTTCCTGATCACAGTCAGGATTCCCCAGGATCAATGGATACTCACAGTCCAGCCACACCAGGGATCCAATTACCACAGGGCCAAAGACATTTCTGCTGAAAAGCATACTAAAAATTCTGCTCCATTTTGTAGCACAGGTAAGACCTTTATCAGTGTTGAGGATGGGCGAAGAACTGTGATAATTTGTGATTTGCCTGAGTCGAATGTTTTTCATTAGTAGCTAGTTTGTGCCTGCAGAGAGAACTCTCCACCAAAATTAAGCACCAAGCAGTATCAGCCACTACTCTGGCTCCTGTTATCTTGACAGGATCCATATCACATTCCCAAAGACTCAGTATAACGGGACCTTGTATTTTAAAACTACATCAACTCTGCATTAAGATTACATGGTGAAACTTCCTCCTGCTAGAGGAATGCAGAAGCTACACTTCTTGTACTAGCTCCGATTTGCTCAAATTGCTTAAACATCATAGATTTAGGTTGCATTTAATAACCTAGTATGTAACTGAAAATTATATATTCACAACCTGAAAAGTTAATCTTATTACAAGCTACTACTTTAATATTACCTGACATTGTGCTAACACAGACTTTACATTTCAAGCAGCAGCTAAAACGTAACTTATTGAATATGTTGATAACCAACCAGTGTATTTGTTCACTTAAGCTCTACAAAGGTTGGTTATGGAAAACTGATATGGAGAAGACTACAAAGAGGATTAAAACAGGCGTTCTGATCGTGCTTCTATGCCTCACTCTTCACATGAAGGAGAAAAATCCAAGCTCCCAGATCGATAGCTATCATTTTGCAATTTTAGAGGAACAAGAGGGAAACTTTTCTGCAGTCTCTTGCAGCTGAACAAACCATTTTTGCACATACAAATGTCAGACTCATTGCAGGTCGTGCTTGGAGAGGTACAGAACATTCTCCCTTCTCAAGAGCCCTGAAGGATGTTCACCCGCGTGGCTCAGCAGCCTGCCGTTTTCTACCACTGGCAGATTCTCTGCAGGTCCTCAACAAAACACACAATAGACATGTCTTATGAGTACTGCTTGAAGCATCCAGGCCTAGACCCTGGGGTAGTATTTGGCTTATACACTTTCCAAGGGACTAATAACGTGATGAATTACGAAGTCGATCAGAGAGATGCCTCTGTGCAGGAGGTGCTGGGAACACAGGAGCCTCCAATAACACTCTCCTGGCCAGCTTGGAGATGGAACAAGGCAGAGTGGAGAAACCTCCCTACACGCCACCAATGAACCAAATATCCCAAGAGGTACAAGACAGCAGCACCTGGCCACAGGTAACAGGAAAGGGGGATAAGCACAAAGAGCAAACACGCAGAAGCAGCGCTTGGCAGACCTGGGCTGTCCTCACCAGGCTCCTCTCCCACGATGCCGTTGCAGTACATGGCATGCAGCTCGATCTCCGTGGCTGGGAAGCCTTGGTCGCACAGCGGGCATGACACATGGTCAGCAGCTGTAGGACTGCACTCAGACACAGTCCTGCCAGCATCTTCATCTCCACCAGCCTAAGGAAGAAGGAGGAAAAATTAGCCAGACAGCTAATTGTGCCATTTCTCTTTTTGTTTGCCAGGTGCAATGCTCCGTGCTGTCTGGTAGCTACTCACCCTCCCACAGACTCAGATTTTCTTAGAAATTTTTATTCTCCTTTCATCACATACTGGTCAGAAATAACACCACTGGCTGAGTAAACTGTGCAGCACTAGTAACTAATTCTTCTTCCAAAGGCAACATGTCCTTCTGAATCGTGGTGAAACCTCCCTGCACAGCCATGCACACCATTTAAGGCAAACATCACCTGTACTACCGCAGAAAAATGGCAAAGCTTCCATTAATCAGGAAAGCTCAGAAGCGAAACTGATGGAAAATTCATGGGGCAAAGCAAGAGTTCAACACCTGACTTGTGCTCATCAGTTTCTGGACATGATCCACACTACACAGGCAGCACTGTCTGGGAACACAGCTTCCCCCAGGGATGAAAGGAGGGTGCTGTGCTCTGAGGGAGTCTGGAGAGATCACTGGGAAGCTCCTCCTCTCTAGAGGAGGTGGCTGGAGCAGTCATCACAGGGGACACAGATCAAGGAGAGGCAATACCATTAAAAATCCATGTCACACAAAATAACTAGCAGTGGCTTTTTGCCAGGGCAAAATGTCACAACTCATGTTTGTTCTCCAGGTGCCATTACTACTCACCGATACTCTCTTTCTCCATTGGTTACACAGCTGCAAAGGTGCTCCACTACCCACCTGCAGAGATACAGCCTGCTCCCTATGCTACTGATGTTCCCAAGACGCAGCAGGCTGCTGCCATCTCACTTATATCTCTCCCTAGTCAGGCTTGCTACAAGATTTTTCCACATTTAAGAAAGAACCTTTCCCTCCCTGCAATGATTTAAAAAGTTATTTAAATATTAACCATGTAGAAGAAACCTATAGAAAAATAATATAGGAGAATTTTCTGTTCTTAGGGTTAAGCAGTGACACGTAGACAGTATGCAGCAAAATTGCTGTCTGCTTCCCTCCAATGGTATAATTTCAGGGAAGCAGTAATTGGGGTCAGTCATGATGCTCAGTGCCACTGGAGCGCTTTGTCATATTACTCGTTTCATTACTTGCTTTTCCAAATGAGGGTCTGATCCTGATTTTTATGTCCTAAAGGGAAGGAGGGTGCTTTACTGACTCCAAGGAGCTATGCAAAAAATTGCAGGACTGGGCCTTAACCTGAGAATCCAGCTCACAAAATGCCTTTCTCCCAGACATGGGCTGAAAGGCTACAGCACCGAGCCCCAGTTACACCTCTCTCATTTCCACGGAGGCTCTCTGCCCTGGATTTCTGCGGAGGAGTTGCCACAAGAGTTCCTCCAGCTGAACACAGACTGTTGAAGTACATCACTTACAGCATTAGCACTCATACCCTGCTCTCACATCTCAGTGTCACTACATCTTGCGAAGTCCTCACCGTGGGGCGTCACACAGAGGAGCCGTAAAAAAACAAGATGTGTCAAATATGAATGATCAGATCAAACCTGCATTATCCTACTCAGACAACACATGTAAAAAAAAATATGATGGGAAAAGCAGCAGGCACTGCTCCTTCTAGCTGCCATTTTTAAAGCAATCTTAGATCACCAGTTCTGCACACCCTGCCCGCCTACATTCAGTGGTAAATTACTAATTTTAAATGGAAATGCAACATTCTGTAACAAAAGACACTACAGTCCCAAAACTGCTTGTACAAAACCTTGGTGTCAGTCTGGAAAACCTCAACTGCAGAACCAATCACCCCTGGTTGCCTTGCCTCTCCTCTTTAGCAGAGAAAATTGCCTACAAGACATAGTACTTGCAGCCAACAGCCAGCCAAGAGCGATGCTAGAGGCTGAGCTCAACAACAAGACTCCTGTGTCCTGGCTCAGCATTTGCTAGGAAGAAGTCAGTCCCAGCAGTCTGCGCCCACTTCGTGCTAACCGCTGATGCACAGGGTAGCTGTTTCTGCCGTCTTCCTGGAGGACTGCAGGCTTCAGACTGGTACTTGCTGACAATAATAATGTTGTCAAAAAACCCCTAGGAAGCCCCACAATACTGCTTCTGAACACTGTGCTGGCGATCTGGTGCTGTCCAGGCAGAGCTGTGAGACCCGGGGCACCCTCTGCAATGCACGAGGGACAGGGCAGTGTCCTGGCCACAGCCAACTGGGTCATGAATGTGTTTTGGTGACACTGGCTACTCAGCTCAGCACAGGACTGCCGCCTCTCCTTGCTGCAGTCTCTAATTGACTGAGCAGTGCTTTGAGATACCTGCAGAATGAAAGGCACACGAGAGCAGAAGCTGGTTTATTAAGAAGCCTGTGACAATGAGACATCGGAGCTGCAGACGCACTGTACGAGCTGCAGACTCCCAGAATGAGCTTTCCACAAATGAATCCTCTTGTCAAGAGCTGTACGATTCTGTATTCATGTACCCTGCCAGAGGAGTACTTGGCAACCCCTTTGATATCACTCTCTAAATTAATAGACAAAGGGAGTTTTATCAGAAGCAGGAACTGAAGTCAGATGTCGGTACAGTGACAGCTGCAAAGCAATTGCTGCACAGGTGTGACAACATGGGGAAAGGAGCCACACAACAACACACATCTGCATTGGGAGGTAGAGAGGATGGCCCTGCCACTGACTTACTATTTCTATTAACTGTTACTGCACAGTAATCAAGATTACTGGGCTCAGGTCACTCTGCTTGGACTGCAAACCACCACCAGCCCTCAACACTCCAATGTCATCTTTAGCCCAGCCCAGTCTCTGGGTGAACCTCTCCTCTTGGAGATGGTCTGTGGAGAACAAACACCAAAGTTCAGAGGACTGTAATGGAAAAGCATCACAACATGAGTTGGAGGACTCCCCTCACAGCTCCTGGGATCCCTCTGCATCACTGACCATCACACAGCACTGGGCAATCAACAGCACTGCTGACAGCACTGCTTTCCACACGGATGACATCCTCCAACACAGCAGTGCGTGTGGTATAAAAGAAAGAGCTGGAATTGATAACTCTCTAGCTACAGTACTGAAAGGCTCCAAAAGCAGCTGCATGCAGTCCCCAGCTGTACTGGGTCTGGCTGAACTGGAATTGGTTTTCCCCTACAGCAGCCCTCACGGCGCTGTGTTTTATGTCAGGAGCTGGCAGGGTGTTGATAGCACCCTGGTGTTGTGGCTACTGCTGAGCAGTGCTTACACAGCACCAAGGCTCTTTCTGACATTTCCCCCAGTGGGACGGGGTGGGCAAGATCTTGGGAGGGGACACAGCCAGGACAGCTGACCCAAACCGACCAAAGGGATATTCCATACCATATGACGTTTGCTCAGTATAAAGCTGGGAGGAAGGAGGAAGGGGGTGGGGTCACCCTTGGTCCTCCGAAGCAACCACTACGTGTATTGGAGCCCTGCTTCCTGAGAAGGCCCGACATCGCCTGTCCATGGGAAGTAGAGACTAAATCTGTTTGCTTTTGCTTCCGCGCGCGGACTTTTGCTTTGCCTTGCTTATATTAAAACTGCTTTTGTTTCACCCACAAGGGTTAGTTTATCTTCTTTCCCCTCTTTACCCTATTGAGAAAACAAGGGGAAAAGGGGGGGGGGGGAAGTGATAGAGCGACTTGGTGGATACCTGGCATTTAGCCAGTCAAACCATCACACCAGCCAACAGGGACTGGAGTTACGAACTAGTGGATAAAAGCAAAGAGGGAAGTTTTTGTGACAATCCAAACAGCAGAAGCCCAAGCTCCCAGCTACCCAAGGGGAAACGCCAGCACAGTGCAGCTGAACCAAGATCTAGAAGGCATGACTGGAAACGGGATCCTTCCCCAACCTCAGGCTCTTTTACCTGCATAGGTGTGTCTTCGCTGCCCGAGCAGAGCTCTTCTCTCTCCGCCTCAATAGCTTCCAGTGGACTCGGCTGGGTCTCTGCAGAAAAACACCTCCATGTCAGCGCAGGGTTACAGCCCCCAAAGTACTGCCTCACTTGTTGATGTAACTTAGCCCATTTCTTAACAGCATTTTCACAGCTTCAAAACAGTTTTTAGACTTGCCACAAATGTTATCAGACAATGTGCAACAACGCAGCCGGATGAGGGGTTAAAAGTCACAGCACGGTGGTGCGAGGACAAAGCCACTGCAGCTTTACAGCTTCATGGGGAGTGAGACTAGACACAGGCAAAGCGTGTGGGACACTTGCTGGGATAGAGACAAAGCAAGAATAGAGCTCTCCCTCGCATCGAAACAAACAGCTCCCGTTCTGTGGTCTGCCTTGCAGTCACACCTTCTTCAGACCTCCACATCTTCCTTAGCAACAAAATATGCCTCCAAGCACCACCATGACCTCTCTCTCTACAGCTGCTTGTGAACAGGAGCAGTCTCTTCATTAATTTTCTCTTTTAAAACCCTGGACTGGAAAAATCTCAAACACAGTAGGAGAGACCAAGGAAGAAAAACTCGTTGGTCCCAAATATGTTTGTTTAATGTAAGACAAAAATTATTTCAGCTCTCATGCTTTACACATATCTTGACACTGAAAAATCTGAAAATTTCTTGACTGCATTGAAGAGACCACTCCTGGCACCTTGTTTTGAGTGATTCCTCCAAATCGATGAACATCCTGGTGTCTTTTCAGCAGCAAGTCCCCAGCAATCTCCAGTCACAGAACTGTCTTAGAGGAAATGGGTCCAAAAAACAGGGAATCAAACTAAATTACCTGGATAATTTCAGCCCTGACAAACAGAGCTGGGAAAAAAATCTTATTTTTTTCAAATAACCTGAAAATTCCATTTTCTCTGATTTTTAGTAAGTGTGTAACTTTCGGTATAAAATTCAAAACATTCCCAAGTGCCTCTTACCTGGACAAACAGAGATCTCTTCTTCAGCAGAGTTTTCTGTAGCAATATCTGGGCTCCTTTTACTGCCAAGTGGGGTCAACACAGAGATGCTGCTCAAAATATAAATATAATATAAATCTCCAACGCAGTAGGTGTGACAACACACACTCGCCTGTCTCACGCAGTTCAGAACAGCAGATAATGCCAAGTGGTCAATAACAGATAGCCAGCAAGGACCTGGATAACAGCAAAATATCGGTACAGAATGCTGTCCTAAGCAAAAACCCCAAAAGGAACATTTTTTCTTCTAGAAGTCCTTGACAAAAAGGCATGAAGAATCACTATCTCATGTCAGGGGAGCAAAAATACCTGCTCACAACTGTGGGACTCTCTTGACTCTTTCTACTGTTAGCAGACCTGAGAGATATTGCAGGTACCAGCACTGTTCTTTCCTTCTGTCTGGGGAAGGAAATCCTCAGAGAGGAAAGACACAGGCTTGCTTTATCCCGCATTACCCTCTCCCTCCTCACATTGTTAATTTTCCTCCTTATCGCTGTGCATGGCAGCCAGAAGCAGCATGGATGCAACACAAGGCAAGGCTTCCCTGCAGCAAGGTCCTAACAGCATTAGCACGGCGGTTCCTCCAAGCAGCACCGGGTACCGCTTCTCTCATTTTGACTTTCGGATTCCTCCTTTTTTTCCTCCCCCCCACACTGTACAGTGTCTTTCCGAAACAGGCAGGCATTGCTGAGTAAGTCTGGCACCCATGCTGACACACTCCGCGCTTTGCGTGGCTTTCTGATTAGTCTGATCAAGTATGCAAGAACACACTTTAAAAACATGAATCCCCATACTGACAAATAGAAGATTTATTAAGCTCAACCACAGGCCTTAGAGAGGAGAGAACAGCCACTGCTGATTTATGATAAATAACAAAATTCTGATAGGAAATCACAAGTGGCTTTTCTCTCTAAATAAAGCATCTCAAAGCATTTGTTATGAATCCAGGCTGAGCGCGTTTTACTCTGCATCTAACATCAGGGCTCACTTCAAAAGAACTCGCACAAAACAACTTGCTATGACATTTATAAAATGCGCTAATCAATTTGAAGTCAAACCACATTTCTTGCTACACCAACTATCTCCTGGTAACAAAGCCTATAATCATTTATTAAAACCCCAATCTACCATGCTCCTCACAAAGTGTAAAACAATCAGGCAGAGCGGCCCGCAGAAAGCAAAGCGGCCTCTTCTCACTGCTGCCGCTTCCTAAACTGCTTCACTACCTCCAGACAGCTCAGAGCCGTGTTTTCCCTATTAAGTGCTGCCGAGGCCAGCCGGCCGGGGTGCCTGAGCCTTACCCGAGAGAGGACCGTGCTTGGCAAATTACCAGGAGCCAGATGGCAACACTTAATGTGCACGAAACTGCGAAGACAGCAGCCATTTCTTGCCTTGCTGCAGATGTGCCAGCTGCTCAAGGAGGGGCCACAGCACCCAGGTGCATCTCAGCCCCAAGGGGGGCAGCCAGGAGCTCCTGGGCAGCCTGGGGAATGTCCCAAACTAACCCTGTCAGCTACATCAAGGGAACGAGGTCCCTCTCTCTTCTGATTCAGCCCTGGCCTCTTCTGCCTTGAGCAGGCGGGAGGCCAGCGCTGCAGAGCGCACACCTCGGTGCCTTCTACAAAAGCACACAAGCTCAGACCTCAGCTGTCACAGACTCATCAGCCTCAGCAGCCACAGGTTCCTCCTGCTCCCCAAGGCAAGCTTTAAGCTTGTTAGGAAGGTGCAAGCAAGAGGGATTTTCATTCTCTGCATATTGATATTAACTGCTCAGGCTAAGTGCTGTTAGATCAGAGGAAAGTTGGCAGGTTTGTTCCAAAGCAGGTTTAAATTATAAAACCCAGCAAATTAAAAACATGACATTATCTGCCCTCTCTTGTAACTTGTTCCTTGAATCCTCTCCCATTTGCCCTTCTTCTCCCACAGCCTTCGCTGCAGAATTGCATCCCACAGGAAGGAGAAGGGAAAAAAAAAAAAAAAGAGGGAGTAGGCTTAAATCTGAAGAAAATCATGTTGACTTGTCCCACACCTGTCATCTGCTGAAGTGGCTTTTCTGGAGCACTGCACTCTATCTTTGGCTGATAGGCAGTGCCGTCTGGCTTCCTCCTCCCTTCTTTCCTCTTCAGCAGCAAGGCAAGAACATAAAAATACACACAGAAATCCAGTAAACCCTCCACCATGCTGCCTATGTGCCTTCCCAGACAGGCCACGTGATGGTATCGCTGTAACTCACCTACCCATCTCCACAGCTTTGCTGCACCATGTCACATTGCTTCAGAGGGCAAGGATCAAGTCCTCGTACCTGTACTAGGATGTGCCTTGCACATTTTATAAAGTAGCAAGAGTAACCTACCTCTATGTCCCCGTTGTGTCCCTCCTCTCTCCCACACTGCTCCAAAGCCATGTATTTCCAGGGATATCTGACAGCAGCGACTGCAGCCAGCCTTTCCAGCAAGCCCTGCCACCAGCCCCTGCAGCAAGCCCTGGTGAGATTGCACCCCAAAATACTGCCGGGATAGTGGCACAGCCCACACCACCAGAGCGACCCCATGTTCTGAAATCAGCCTACTCACCTCTGTGCAATTTGCATGGGTTCCCCATCTTCATGCACATCCTCTGTAGGCAGCACCTGGGAGGCCTGGAGAGGAAAATTCTGATATTATATAAAACAATGTACACAGCTAACCCGGACCTGCCGGGTCATCAGTTTCTGTCCATGACATTGCACCCAGTCTGTTAAGTATTTTTTTCTGAAAATGGCTCAGTATTCATCCTGAACTAGTCAGCTTTTTCCCTCTATCACTCCTTTTGGTAAGGCATTTGAGCAGCTCCCTCCAATAATGCCTGGCAGTACTTTTTGTTACCTTGCTGACTAGACATGTTCCTGGACAGTCCATGCCCATCCACCCATGCCAATCTTGTCCATCACCTTCCACACCCTCTGCCTGTTCCTAGCATCTACCCTGATGTACTTGTAGGCAGCAACCATAGCTCTTCTCCATCTACATCTGTGCCGAGCTAAACAGCCTAAGGATTTTAGCGTCCCCTTGTACTCCCTCAAGCACCCCAGCAGCCCTTACCTGATCCAGTTTAAAATCTATTTGCCTGAGCTGGGATGACCTGATCAACAGGTACAGCTGATGTTTCACCATGAGAAGTACTTTCCTGAAATTTCATATAGATAAGATCTCTTGCATTTTTCTTGACTCAGAAATCAGCTATCCCATCAAAGAGGGGGAACAGATTAACCTGCACAATCTGCAGCTGGTAAATCTGTGTGCATTTTATCCCATTTTTCATTTCACTCTATGACTCCACTTATTCTTTCCTTTAAAATTTGTTCAAAAGCCTTATGCACTGCCGAGGTCAGGCTAACATGCCAGTCATTACCCAGATCCCTTTCTTCTTCCTCAGTGTACACGTTACACTTGCCACTCTCTAATCAGGTGGAATTACAATGGTTTATTAACAGTCCTTGCTGTCAGGCCCACGATTTCTCATGCTAGTTCTCAAAGAAATCCAAAGGGCTTTCCTCCCCCTTCCTCGAGTCTATTTAACTCTCTGAGTTTGATTTCCACCACAGGTTTCAACTTCGATTAGCTCCACTCCTGGCTGGCTGATGTACTTCCCCAGCAAGCCCCAAAACAAAGTCTCCTGCCAGATTTCCCCACAGTGACTCCAGCCCCCAAATACTCTGTTTTATCGACACCGTTCTTTATTTCTTCACAGCCTAACTCATCGTTAGCATAAAATAGCACACCTCCTCCTTATTTTTATTTCTCTTTTTTCCTGAACTGTGTATATCTTAACAATGCCTCTGCCCTGGTCATGAATACTGGGCCATGTTTTTGGTTTACCTAGCACATATGTTGTAAGGTATGGCACTAATTCAGGCCACCAAATTAAGTCTCCAGAATTGGGTCTTTCCCCTCAATCTTTCAAAGACCAAGTGTCTGCTAACCTTATTTGAAAGGCTATGAAGGAACTGATTCTATTAGCACTGAAGTTCGTTAGTACAGGTTCACAGGCTGTACCTCCTGACAAGCAGGATTTGCTCTGTGCAAATATCCCTTGGCTGCAGGTGGCAGTGGCAGGAGTTGGCCACTGCCAGGGTGGAAGGTCTCTGCCTGCTCCAGGTGAGGGTTTCAAAGCAGGGGTACAGGCAGGCTCCCTCCAGCACATCACTTGCACCTCCATTTCACTGGCACAAGCATGAGGCTTTTCCAAGGACAGCTTTGAGTCCCCGTGGATGGTTTCTAGCCTCGGCACAATCTCAAATCTCCCACCAACCCCAACAGCAAAGCATCCCTGGTGGCACTGGGGGAGCCCCAGGGCAGTACAGGCAGCAGGGGTCTCAAGCAATGCAGTACGCAGGGGACATGACTGCTCTGGGCCCCTCCTTTGTCACTGCCGGTGGAATTGTATTTGATAGAAGGAAAAAAAATGGAGACAAGGCACAAGCAAACATCAAACAGATCGATCTTGCAAGCAAACCACCTGCACTGGCCTCAGTGTGTGACTGCACAGAGGCAAAAGAAGGGAGCAACCTCTCAAGCTGGGTTGATAAGGCAGATGAAAGGGTATTTAGAAACTACTTTCTATCAAGTAAATAAAAGACTGGCAAATTTTAGGCTAGGGTTGAAATTTTAAAGTCTGTTCCCCCTCCCTTTCCTTATTTTTTCACCTTAAAAATATCAGAAAGACTACATCTACATACACATTATGGCTCTTTGAGAGAGCTCTTGTGGTCAGGATGAGTACATTACAAGTTTCCACTCAGCACCACTAAAACCTCTTTTCTCCCCAAGAATTAATTAGGTATTAGCATTAAACGGATAATAATTAAAAAAAACCCCACAATTTTCAATACTGATTAAAAGTTCACGCCCTTCTGAGCTGCTGTAGCTTTCCAAGGGCTTTAGTGTAAACCTCCATGGACCTGCAGTCACCCCAATCTTCCAGATTAATGACACCTCCATTTCCAAAGGAAAAGAGACAGAAGAAAAAAAGCAGTTTGCCTTAAGAACCTTTCAGGTCTTTCGTATCTATCCTGAGGAAATGAAAAAGGGCACAAGTTGGTTTCTTTCCTCTGCAGGTCACCTCTAAAGCTTGTTTAAATCTGTATCTGCTAAACCCAAGCCAAAGCACTGTCACGAAAAGTCACATTTCAGCACAAGCTGCTCTGCTCTTTTTCTGCAACCAGAAAATGCAGACATGACGTTTTTCCTAAGTGTTCAATATTACAAGACAGAATATAAATATCACAAAACAAGTTAAGTATCTTTCTAACACCAGGGTAAATGATCAAATACACTTGAAAACAGGAACAACAGAGCCGAGGCTTCAGTCATAGAGAAGATAAAGTTATACAATGATCCGGGAGTGAAGTCATTATGAAAAATGAGGGTTGGAAAAGGCTGACACAAACCTAAAATACAGCAGTAATAAATACTTCATCTGACTAGCAATCTGTTTAAACTTAGCAGTGACAGAAAGCTGCCTTCCGCTCCAACAAGAGAGTCCTGACAGAGACAGAGGCTGACACCTAGCGTCTAGCAGACCCGACAAGCAAGCAGGAGAGAAGGTGCCCAGCCACCAGAACAAGGACGATGAGCACAGCCGGTCTGACAGATCACCCCGGGGCAGGCAGAAGACGCCTGTGAGCACGCAAAGCCTCTCCCAGCCGCAACGGCAGGACCACGAAGGAAAAGAGCACTTGCAAGGGGGAAGCATGTACAGACACTGAGGAACAAGTAGGTGCAAAAAGGAAAGGCTGCACTGCAAGGACAAAAGCCACATTCCCGTCTACAAAGGAAAAGGTAGAGCTCCCCACACGGCCACAGGGTTATAAACTGGTTTGCCAGAGCTGGTGGCGGCCAGCATAATCTCTGTGCTCCCGACCCTGACACACTGCCAGACTACACCCTTAAGAGAAGGACAAGTCAGCTGGAAGTCTTTATCTCAGTTGTGCATTAATTGAAGACTGCCAGGCTGCATGATGGCCCCTACCATTTGCGAGCAGGGTATCAGCCTGTACACTTTTCCTCGTCCTTTCATAGTAAGCCGTGTGGCTAGGGGAGGAAGTCCCTAAATTTAAGAGGCACATTAAAGAGCAGTGCCTGCTTTGCAGAAGGGACTGGATGCTAAAATGGACAGAGGACCAGGACTGTTCAGCGGCGAAGCTCTTACCTGGCAGTAGCTGGTGGTCGGTTCATCATCGGAAGTAGAGTTCCTCTCTTCTTCCATGCTGTGCCCTGGACTCTCTGCCTCCCTCCTCTTCGAAGGGAGGAGCCAAGTGATGCTCTCAGACTCCTTCTGCCCATCTGGGTCTCCATCTTCTGTATCATCAGCAACCCCGTTCTCTGTGCTTATCTGCTCTCCTTTCCCAAGCTCATTCTGGCTCAAGGAAGAACTGGGCACAACTGGGTTACCAAACTCCTTCTTGTGCAATAGCTGCCTCTGAGCCTGCTTCAGGCTCTTCTGGTAAACCTCCAGCTGACACAAGATGACTTTGGTGTACTGGTTGGGGTCCACCCCTTTGGGGCAGAAGGGGATGCCCCAGTAATAGTGCACTGTGTCTCTCGCCTCCTCCTGCTTGTGCTTCTCCTCCACCGCATTCAGTACACAAAGCTCAGGGGTACTGTCGGGCACCTGGTTCTGCTCTGCTTGCTCTGTGGCAACACAGACTTTGGTGGCGTGCCTGGGCTGCGAGGTGTGTTTGGTACCTGCTCCTCCACCACTCCTCCTGGGGCTGCCACACCGTTCCGCAGTCCAGCTCTTCCAGATCGTGGCTGAGCTCCCAGCACCAGCCTCTCCTGCAGAATGGCCAGTGCAGGGCAGGGGCTGCTCTTTTGGTTTGTGGTCTGTTGCTTCGGAAGAGCTGGAGGGCCTTGTGAAAAGCCTCCGAGGTGTCAGCTGCCAGGAGCCTGAAGTCACCCTGCCAAAGGTGGGACTCAAAGAGATGAGGTCCTCTCTGAATGTGCTGGGTAACATGTTACTAGAATCACGTTTTGCTGGTGAGGATGGCTTTTCACTTGACCTTGTCACAGGCTGGCCCTTCCCCGGAGACACGATTATGCTGGATACTAGTGAGCTTTCAATGATTTCCTGGCTTAACCGCCTCAACACTACCAGGGGGCTCCGGGCGGCATCCATCTGTCCATTCTCATCAGCTCTGGCGCGCTGTGAGTGGGAGCTGCACTCAGAGTGAGGGGTGTCAGGGCAAAGCGCCAGACCTCCCAGGATCTCAGAGCCCTCTTGCTCAGTGGGCTGGCTTTGGCCTCGCAAGCCCAGCACTTCAGCAGACAACTCAGGGGTTGCATCAGAGGAGTCCGAGGGCTGACAGCTCTGAAAAATAAAAGGTTGATTCTCTGAGAGGCATGTTCTCTATCAAGAGAGCATACCAAGGGCTGCCTCAGCACATTGGCAGCTATCACCTGGACTGCAGACCCCACTGTCCTGATCAGAACTGTGTACCCCAAAATGGGGGACAGCTGAGGTTAGACTTAATCCGGCCCTCTCACTAGGAATGGTACAAAACAACTACCCTGTGACTGCTGTAGTTTCAGCTCACACTGGAAATAGCTAGGCCCCAAGTAAAGCCTTCTTTTGTGCAGTGTGGCAAAGCAGGCACAGAAAGCAATGTTGCTGAAGAACCCTAGTAAGCCTCTTCACAGAAGCGCACTTACATTAAGGCTCTCAGCAATGGCCTTCCTCAAGAGCTCCTCCTCTTCCTCTTCCTGACAGTTCACTTGCCTGGCTTCTTGCTCACTCATTTTCAGGGCCAGTGCAAACTGTTCCTCTTCAGTCATCTCTACAGCAGATGAAATAGGATAACGTCAAGTCACAAATGGAAGTGTAAGTAAACACTCAACATATATCCAACACGCTGGGAGAAATGTCCAAGGGTCCCGCCTCCCCAGGAGGGATGAAGAGCAAAACATCTAAACCTCAGCTTTCCTGAAATATGTCACCAAAACTGGAGCAGGCAACACTATGTAAAAAAGGCAACCCAAATCAGGAACTTCAGTTAGGGTTTCTACAGCAACCTAAACTCTGACTCCCTGGGTATATTAACTGCAACTGAACGTTTTATTTGCCCTCATCAAACACCACAGCCTACAGCTGTAGAACACATGTTCAAGGAGAGAGGAAAAGGACAAATTTCCAAAGTGTGCTCATTTTTATGTTGGACTGGCTCAGCAGCAAGGCAGGATAAAGAACACATCATCTTTGATACACTTTTGTACTAGCCAAATAGCATGTCTCACTGCCTTCTGACATGCAGATACCTGCAATACCACAGGAGACCTACCTGAGAGAAAAAGAGCTACATGTTGTTCATCCCGAGCCGCAGGTAGAAAGCTCTGTGGAGGATAATGTTACTTGCTTAGTGGTATTATGGAAGATCTCTCCCATGCATACATCCTCCTTCTGCTCACATCACCAATCCACTGCATCACTAAGTCAGTCATGCATGGGAAACAGGTTTCCTACAGTTTTAACTGCTATTTCAGCAGAAAATTTCTTCCTGAAATATTCCTCAGAGCAAACCAGAAGCCGAGACTGGCTATTTAGAAACAAAGCAGTTAGTTTCTTTGGAAAACACTTATTTACTTAGATTCAATCCAACACTTGCACTGTGCTTAAAATATACAATGCCTGCAGAATGGAGTGCAGCTTGGAAAACAACTCAACAGCACTCTCAGGAGCTGAAAAATACATCTTCTCACTTGAAACAAATTGACAGATTTCCTTCAAAACCCGCTCCCTCCTTCAGGCAGAATCCTGCACACGCCATCTCATGCATGAACCAAAAGGCTTGCTCTCCTATGGGCTAGAAGAGCTCTAAGAGATGCAATTTGAACAGGAAGGCCACCCAAGCACAAAATATGCCTTCGCTACAGCCAGTTTTGGAGAATGACGTTTCCCTGGATAAAGATGCATTCAGAAATTGCAGACTCCCATTTTCTAACCCATCGTCTTCTTATCAGCTGCCACCAACATAGCTCCTTCGAAGCAGCCTGGGATTGCACTGGTCTTAGCACAGCCTGTGCATCACGGCCCTGCTGCAGCGAGGAGCATCCTCACAACAGCAGGCTTGGCTTTGCTTTGCCCTTCCCCCAGCTCGTTGCTAATGGCAGGCTGGTTCTCCCCCACCCAAGCAGGATTTGAAGCATTTTTGGACTGTTCTGACTACCAGTCATAGATTCCTTTCTGTGTCCTACTAAATCAGTACTTAGCTTTGGGTTATTTGATGGGGTTTTTTTAAATTTCTTTTAAAATTAAGAAAGCGGTTGAAGTGAAGGCAGACAGCAGTGCACTCAAGGCTTGTAGGGATCTTTTGTCCTTGGACAAAGTCACTCTATGATGTTACAGCCAGGAGGGACCAGGAAAAAAAAAAAAGCATCCTTTAATGGAAAACGCACAACAGTCCAGTGTATGAAGAAGGCTCCTGTCCCCAAGAAGAGCAGTAATACACAGCATTTTCACAATAACAAACACCTCCCAATCATTCAGTAAATGTGTGCTGATTTGTTTCCCTGCCCAAACCATCACAGCAATCAGGCCAGATCCTGCAAACTCTGACACGTGCAAGAAAACCGGTGCATGTGATCAGTGTCCCGCAGCACAAGACTTTCCACGTGCTTAAAATAAAACAGGGGCCCAAACGTTCGCCAGTTCAGGCTATCAACATCCACGAAGCTTAATAAAAAGAAACATTTTTTGGCGACTTACTACTGTACATTTTGTTTTCTTCTCCCTCCCTGGCACAGTAATTTCCCCTCTGGGGACCGGGAACGTGCCAGACAAATGCTGCCTCTGGCAAAGAAACCAGAGACAAACAAGATGCACTTAACACACGTTCCAGTTGAGTAGGTGCTCCGGAGACAGGGAGATCTCAAATTTAGATCCACCTGGCATTATGGTAGGGAGAGCAAAGAGCAGCTCTGCTCATGCCTTCCAGGAGACTTGACCTGCTTTAAGCTGAGCGGTCCAGAGCTGGCGGCATTTTGTGCTCCATGTCTGATCCATTTCTCAGCACTGTGCATTTTATTAAACTGGATGTTGATTGCACCAGTCATAATTTATGAGGATTAGAAATCCAGAGTGTTGCGTTAGACCCCAACCGGTGCGTGCTAACAGACCTCTGGAGCGCTCTGGGAGCGAGCACTGAGCGTGCAGCAGAGGCGAGCTGTGCTCCCAGAGCAGGGCAGGGGTTCCTGCAGCCCTTGGGAGGAATGACCCCTCTCTGTCTGGGCAGACACGCTCCGTTATGCTCAGCTCACACACATCGCACACCTCGCAGAAGCCTGTTCCCACTGCCAGCTGGGGAAGCACTGGCACCTCCGGCTGGGAATTCTGCGTCTCACACTCCAAAATCCACTTGCCACACATCCATCCCAACGAAGCACTAAACCCCAGCGCCTCTCCAGGGACCAGGGCATCCAAGAAACCCACAGATGGGAAGGAGGGGTCAGGGAGAAACTGTTTTTAAGACATTGCAGCCCTAAACAAATTAAACCGTTTCAGAGCCTTTTTAAATGCTAATATGGCAATTTGCTAAGCGATTTATGTTCCATTTTGACATTTGCAAAATGAATTGGATGCAAAACCCCACTAGTTGTAGTTCTAACACTTACTAATAAGAGATTTACTCAAAAATAATGGAAATGCAGGATCTCAGTATTTCCACATATCCAAAGTGCAATTACAGTAAAAACATTCAAATGTGCTTTAAAGCATTGACTTCCTCCAGAGAAAGAGAGAGAGACTTCTTTAGGTTTTGTATTTCCATTTATCCTGTCAGGATGAAACGTCACAGATATATTTTAGTTATGGGTTTAGGTTAAAATTAATAAAACCACAACAAAGCAAAAATGGGAGGATATGCTTTATAACCAGAGCCTGCAAATATCTGAAATTTTCCAGTTTTGAGGAGAAAGAATTTGCTCTACCCAGAAGCACCAAATCTTTACAAAAGACCAATTTGCCTCACAATTCAAAGAATTTATTTAAAGACACTGAGAAAAATAATTACTACTTCAAATCTTAATTTGCCTAAAAGCAAACACCAAAAGTCTAATTATAGCTTTCTACAAATGAGAGAACAGACCCACCATCACACGTGCTTAAACAAGCGATCGCTCTTCGACTGAGTGGCGACAGGCACCCCCAACCTCCTGCACTTCGAGAAGGCAGAGATGCACACTTAAAAAAAAAAAAGGCAGCTGTTGCCCCAGGAGGAGAAGAACTAGTATCAACAATTTCAACATCTAAAAACACAGCAAAACTCCTCTGTTCTATAGTGGCTAAAGAGCCAGCCCTGTCTCCCACAATTTTTTGTAGGACACCAAACACCTTTTGCACAACACCATCTCCTGAAACCCAGAGCACTCAACAATGCAGTGAGGACACCCAACTTCAGCAACACCCTGTTCTTAGCACCTTACATTTGGTCCCATTTTAATGGCATCTCCAAGGGGGGTGTTAGCTTTTATTTGGTGTTCTGTTTCTTTTGGGAGATGAAGAAGAAAAAGGGAAAAAAAAAAAAGAAAAAAAATAACAACTCTTCCCCCATCTCTGACTTTGCTATCTTACTTGTTCGACACAGGACACGCACAGTGGGTTTCAACTCCCACAAAGAGCCAGGCTGTTTCATGCTATGGCCTTAGGCCTCTATTAAAAACAATTTAATTCACACAAGCCCTCTGAGGACTGACAAGCCCAACTGCTGCTGCTTGCAGAGCACTGGCGTGCTCCATTTTGTTCAGTGATTGCTTTGGGTTTTGCAGGAGACAACATCTCTCCCATTTTAAAAGACTCTGAATTTAACACGCTAGCTGGAGCGCTGCCTTGCGGAGCGCAAGAACGTGAGCGCAGTTCCTCTGGGACAGAGCAATGGTCCACCTGCCTGTCTCTAACAAGTTGTGCTGTCCAGGAAGCACAAGCAAGCCTGGCCACGCTCAGTGGTCCCTTCTGCTTGGACATCCCCAGCATTCAGAAATGTTGTTTGCAGAATACGAGCGGGAACATCCCAGCCTGTTCCCTCTGGCATCTGTTTATACACCTACTGTCCAGGAATGCATCTCATCCCTTATTAAAGCTACTGGTACTGACCCCTCCACAACCTCCTGTGACAAAAACTTACCGGAGTTCACTACATGCTGTGTGAAGTATTACTTTCTTTCACCTGTTTTAAACCTATCTGTCTCCTGCTATTTCCACTGAGTGCACGAGCTGGTAAGGCACTGCCTTCCTGATGTGAACTCTGATTCCACCTTCCTCTCTAACTGAGCAGCCCCAGGCTTCCCAGTCACTCCTCATAAGGCAGCTGCTCCCTCCCCTTCATGGCTTGGGCTGCTCTTCTCCGGATGTCCCCTGACTCCACTGTGTCCTTGAGATGTGGAGACCAGAACTGCACACAGCACTGTTGATGTGGGTGCAACAACACTTTATATAACAGCAAAATGACGTAAAACAAATCTCTTGTTCTTAACACCCTTCCTTATGATGCCCAACGTCGCTGGCTTCTCCAGCTGCCCCCGCGCTACGAGCAGATAATTTCACAGAACTGTCAGCTGCAACTCAGATCTTTCCCGAGCTCTGACTGCCAGGTCAGAGCATCACGACATTTCAGGGAAAGACAGCAGCAGAGGGGCCTGAGCAGCAAAGCAGTCTGTGACTGACAATGCTTTCAGATCGGCTTCAACCAGTTTTGAAACTCGGTGAGGTACCAACACCCTCACATACTTATTTTGGAAGTGCACCAGTCTGCGCACACACCACCTGGGGAGAAAACAAGTGACAGTGTGCCTATTCAGAAAGGCAAATTTTACCCCTGAGAAGGGTCTGCTCCAAGAGCTGTGCATCCCCAGCCACATCACAGCCTTTCTGCAAGGGAAATGATCTCTAACACAAACAGCAGAAGCTGCTCAGCACCAATCTACTTCCCCAGCCCCACACTTGAGACCTACGTGCAATTTTTCTTTTAGCAGCAAACTTCGTTCTATCCAGCTGCTGTTTTGTTCTCTTCTTTTGCAATCCACTCTCTTCCTTTGACTCCTGCTGCAATGGAAAAAAATATGGTGAGCGCATACAATATGTAAGAAATACTACCAGGCCCCTCCCCCCCACTACTCAGACACAAACACTGGTTCAAAAACAAGCCTCTCTATGTGTGTGAAATTTGAATTTCAAACATAATTCAAGCACATTCTGTAACTATTAAAAGCTGTGTGATAAGCATAACGAGCAAAAAGAGTTACAGACTGACATAAACAGTGAAGTAGGAGAGACAATAGACTTCATGCCAGTCACCACCATGCACTGCACCTGCTGCCCATGATTTTAGAGAGAATTTGTTTGGCCCTGCTAAAACATTGGTATGGGTAAGCACTCAAAATGGAAAAAAAAAAACCTTTTTATAATGGAACATCCCACACCTGTAAGCCAGGACTGTCTCCATGCAGCTTCTAATACTCTGCTCAGACAATTTTAGGTGACCAAAACTGGAATCCTAACCATGTTGGGAACCCATGCTAATGCACCCCGAGGACAGGAGAGCCAGCTGTATTTACTCCTGGTGCTATTCTCTCATTGTATTGCCACAAGTGTTTCATTTTTGAAGCTTGAATACTTCAGAAATTTGTCAACTCGAGGCCTCCCGGAATAATACCCACACAAACAACCTAAGTGCTTGCTGCTTTAAGCACATGGACTGCAACAAGAATGGTCGCAGGCTTAATTGGCACACATTTATGCAAGTTGCTGTCCTAATGGCTTAAGCGAGGGCGTACACATTACCGAAGGCTGGCACTGGGCCCCTTCCAATTTGTGTCTCTAAATCAGGTAGGATTAGAATCAAACCCAGTGTTTCACGCAAAGACCCACACCAGGCCAGGAGGGGGCTTCACACAGCTCCATCTGCAGCTGCAGGTGTTTTTGCTGTCTGTAAGACTCACAGCAAACTGGCCACACACTTGTGCCTCATACAGCCTCCGGTGCCAGGAAGGGGGCTTCAGGGTGAGGCATGTGGCTTGGGCTACTTTAATGCAAATGGATATACTGCTTATTTTCAAGCGTAATCACCTTCTGCGGTCCATCGGTCATGTTTCTGAACCTGTGAAGTCCTTTGGACTGCACCTCTATGCTCTTTTGTTCAAGACATCTCCAGCTTTAGTGTTATCTGTAGATTTTATTAATGTATATACACCACTTGCTCCCTCTTACAGATCATTAATGAGGATGTTAAAACACACACAGACCTAATATTGATCCTCTTGGCCTCAGCTCTACATCTCCACCAAATGAGCCTCTCTTCTGTTCATCACCAGCTTTTGCTGACAGTCTTTTAGCAGGATTTCAATCCAGGAATGTTACTATCTAGACCAAGTTGAATTATTTATCCAACTAAGATTTTGCAAAGACATACTATTAAGTGGTTTCCTGAAACCCCAATACATTACAGCTTTTACATGTCCTAATGCCTACACCATTGCTCACTTCCACTGATTTAAGAATCAGCTCACAAAACAGCAATCATGCTCGGCAACTCCACACACACATACTCATGCTCACACCTGGGGGTTTCTTCCTTTGACCGATTCCTTCTGTTCCCCACCCAGCCTGGTTTTGGTAGCCCGTTTCTAAGATCTGCCGCTGTGTCTCCAGAAGGCTGCTTCACAGCCAGATTCTCTCTTGCTAGAAGATGGATGCCTAGCTCACGCTTAGCAGGTGACATCCTTTCTCTTCCAGGGCCCTGGCATGTTGCCCTTCTCCACAGTTTTCCATAAACTACAGGTTCTTCTACTCTGAATTGCCCTGCCTTGCTCTGCAGCAGCAGCCCCATGCTGACCTTGCAGGCAGCTCACACCTAAGGGAGTGGGGAATAGTGTAGGATCACACCAGGATCACGCTAGGATTATATGCTGAAGGAGGTTAAGCAACAGCTCTCCCACTCTCCCCAAAAGCACCAACTAACAGTGCTAAACCTACTTCAGCTTAAGACAGGGGCGATTTAATCCTAGCAGGCTCTGTAAATCCCCAGCTCTTCCCTCTAGGCATCAATCTTCCCCTCATCACTCTTGCACTTGCCGGAAGGTCAACCCTGACACTCTCATCTGCAGCTCTCTTCCAGGGCATGGATGTGATTTATGAGCACACCAAACTTTCCACCATTGCCAGTGTCTGCTCTGTGCACAGGGACACACGTTTATAATATGCACCACAGGACAAGACAGGGCTCAAATGCCTCCAGGGCTTTGGAGGGGAATGGCATGACTGGTGCTGGGCGGGCTGCCCGGTTTCCCCACGCAGCCAGATACGTGCCTCGGTTCCCCATGCTGGGTCCTGAAGCATCTCGACATTTACAACGGTGGCAGGAGTAAAATTATTGCAGGACACGTGTTGTATGAACCTCATACATTTGAGAAAGATGTTTAAATTGCTTAGCAGTGTTCTACCGAACAGCCACAGTACAGTGAACCACTGAAGCAAATCCAATTAATCCTGATGGGCCAAAACATACACACACATCTCAATTGCAAGAATTCTTAAATCTTCTTTATTTTTAAACCCAGAAAATAAAACATACCTTTTAATTAGGATTTATGGCTGTTTGTACCTCTGCTGGGAGAGAGCCCCGCAGGCCCCAAAGTGCTCTGCATAAAAGCAAGCATGGATGGTAGAAACAGAAGGGGCCAAGAAGACAACAGGGCTTGCTCTTTCTGACCCAACCTTTTAATGCTCATCTGTCTACAAGGATAATAGGAACTCAGGGGGCCACTCAACCAACTGCCTTTCTAATAAGATCACTAGTCCAAAAATAATCTTAATCAATTAAAATATTCCCAAACTGCAGCCAATACTCTTAGTTACAAGGTCATCTCCAACACACAACTTCCAGGGGAAACTAATTATTATAGCAGAGGCGAGGTGGGAACAGCACACCTCTGCTCAGTGCCAGCCTGGAGAGTGTCTCTCCTCCTTTGCCGTCAATTTAAAGCATAACGGCCAGAAGGAATCCAAATTCTCTTCCTGTGTGTCAGGCTCTGAAGTTTAATTTATGATGCTCTCTTATGAGCAATTTCACTGTCAGCATTGTACACAGATCAAGAAAAAGACGGGTTTCCAAAGTTCCCTGCACATTTAGTGGAAGGCAGCCACTATTCTTCTTCCTTGCTTTTTTAACCTGCTTGGTTTCACCAGACAGCAGGAAATCAAATTCCCATTTAAAAAATGCTTTTGCACATACTTAAGAGAACCTGACTCTGCCAGCAGAAACAGATACAGCTCCATTTGCTTCTAAAAGCCCATAAATGGAAGCCAGTAGCCAGCCTCCCACATCCTGCTCCCTCGAATCCACATCATAAACCACAGAAATCAGCTTCTACTGACTCAGGGAAGGAAAGGCTACAGAAGAATGTCTCCATAGCTAACAGTGCAGACTGCAAAGTCAAAAGGTCTGGGTAATTTTACTGCTCAACAGCAGTTGGGACCATCTAACAACAGGGCACAGCCAAACACCACAGGTCCTGCATGGGAAATACTCAGATGAAAACCAGACTAATTTATTTTTAAAAGCCAATTAGATGTTGGAAGTGCCACGTTTGGCTCTAGCCAAGGCTGCTGCTGAAATTAATATCACACCCTACTTTATTAGTCTCTGACTTCAGTTCAGAATCTGTTTCAGTTCTGCTCTGTCTTTCAGCTCATTAGAACAAACCTGCTGGAAGTGGAGACTTGAACAACGAGACACCACAGGGCTCGTGCCAGACATGTAGTTCCTGACACACAGGAGGGAGGCCTCTGTAGAAAAAAGGGCTTCTACCGGGCTGTGAGGAGCCTGGATTCAGCCCAATCTGATTTCCGAGGAGTGCAGCAGAGCCTCCTCGAGAGCACACTCACACTGCCTTCTCCTCTGGGAAGGGGAGGCGGCGGGTCCCTCGGTACCTCAGCAGGGCCCGTGGGGACAGCAGGGTGCTGCAGCGATACTCCCACGTGGCTCCGCTGCGCTCAGATGGTCAGTGGTGCAAGGTGGGTGCTGCCATCCTCGCTGTGACACTTCCAGTGCCATAGCAAGATGCCTCTCAGGCCATGCCTGGTCCCAAGACAAGTGCCCACTGCCACAGCTGATGGAGAACATGACAGGGCAGGGGCTGGGTATTCCAGCAGATGCCCAAACACACCTCCCTCTTTCTACCAAAACCAACAACTGATCAGGAACATCAACACCCACTGCTCTTTATCCAGACTCCAAGTATCTCCAAACACAGGAATACTCAGGCAAAGGGAAGTTCCACACCAAAGGGAGGACAGGCTATGGATGCCATGCAGGAATGGATGGCACCATCACCCTGGAGTCTTCTCATATGTTCCCCAAGGGCTGGCAGAGCTGATGAATCTGGCAGAAAGAGCTTGTGAGACTTCATGCAAACTCTAAGTGGAGGCAGGTACTCCCAAAGGATCTACCCAGGAAAAAGGGACCCTTCCAAAAGGTCCCACAGCAGATCAGCAGCATGTGGGGATCAACTGCAGTGAAGGCTCCAGATCAAATAGGTTAGCACAACCACTGGGTCTCTGGCTGTGCTTGATGCTCATACTTGGCCAGGCCTCCTGCTGGGTGACAATCATCTTTCAGATGTGGCTTCAGAAAATCTTGGACATCAAAAAGTCTTTATCAACATCCCAATTCAAGCAGGAGGCTCATAAGACAGACCAGGAATTGCTATGCCTGGAGAGCATTGTTGAGCACAATTTGAAATATTGTGTATTTGTGAATGACCACCCACCTTCTGGCATAGAAAACCAATTCGCCGCAGGATTTAAACAGTCAGGGGAGACAAGAAACAGTTTGCTCCTTTGTCATGTTTGCATTTTTAGAGACACGTCTGCAGAAAGGTCATCTCCTCTTGTTTCCACAAAGCCAGAGAAACTGTTCTTACTTTGTCTGACCCTTTGCAAGAAGAAAGAAGCATTGCCCGAATCCAGGATTACATATATAGCAGAGATCAGAAAGCCCCATGTCCAGAAAACTTCCTTCTGATGCAGCTCTGCAGATGCCACAGCACAGACATGAGCAAAGAAAGAAAACTTGGCAAAATAACATGGATGAGCTTGATAATCTAGCATGACTGAAAAATTCCTGGGAGAGGCAGTCTGCCAAAGATCATCAAAAGTGAGAAGCTGGAGGCTTTCCAGGTGCAGCTGCTACAAGATCTGCTGGTCTGGAAGCAGAACTAGGGACTTGTTCTATAGATACCTGCCAAGAGACTGCCAAGGAAGAAAGCCATCGAATCAATGATGCCCAAATTGTCCTTGTAGCTTTTGATTCATAAGGAACCATGTCCTAACAGATGCAAGATTAATTGAGAATGTATTGTTCTCTAAAATTGCTATTGATCTGAGCTTCCCACACCTCTTCTTGAACACATAACAAGGTCTTACTAGAGCAAGAACAACAGTTACAAGGTTCGAAATTGCAATTCAACTTGATGTACACTGAAGAGCTGAGACAGTTACAGAAGCCAGACAGGTTTTGGTTTTTTTTGAGATCCCAAGTAAATCACATTTTTGGGTTTGATTTTGCAGAAAACAACACGACAAGAGACTGTGGCACTGGATCTGGAAGCCGATGACTCACAGAAAGAAAGAGACTGAAATGAATAAATCCACTCATTCAACTGAGTGAACTGTTGTCACTTAAACAGAACCTAATTGGCTCTTTAACGGCCTCTCTGAGCATATCCTTTTCTGTAATATGACCGATTATGCCATCAGAATTTATTGTTTATAGACAAACTTACAGAACAGTCAGGGAGCCTAACCTTTTTATAGATGTGTTTTAAGAGACGTTTGTTTCCTCTTTTTCAGATACGTGCACATTGAGATGAATAATTGCAGACAATAACAGGTCCTGATCTTTTATGTACTGCAGCAGCTCTTATAGCTGCTGATTTCTTTTTTCCTTATAGGTTTCACAATAAAGGCCAGTGATGCAGCAGACATCTGAAGTTAACTTAGCATATTGCAGAGCTAAGGGTTTAACCCCACTGAACTATTACTGCCATATGTTCCATTTCTTTCAGGGAATTTCCCAATGGGAAAGAACTCAGACAATGTGAAGAAAAAACATCCAATATCATTTGCCCTACAGCTTTTTACTGTTTATTTCTAGTGCTTTTCCCCTCCTCACATGATAATCGCCTTATTGTAGAGAAGCATGCTGCAGATGTGGGAGCGAAAGGGACCTGATTTAAGATCTACAGCTTGAGAGTGAACTGAAATGCTTTTGAAAATGGTGGAATTACAAAAAGCAGCTTAGGATTCCCAGTCACCGGCAAGACAGGGCAAAGCCCTAACAGTTGTACATAAAAAAATTAATTCTTAGTAATTTCCTCCCATGTACCTCACTCAGTTGAGGACAGATTCTCAGGTCTCTGGGTTTCCCCCTGACGGGAGTTCCTACACTCATCCCAACACCAGTGTAACAGACATCAATGTTTCAATCTTGTAGGGTAAGTCTGATGTTTTTAAGACAACGCTAAGGATCAGGGATCTGAGCCTTTATGTCTTAGGCAGGCACATCCACACTGCAGTTCACCTTTACATCCTATGGAAGTGGGTTAAAAACTCAGGCTTCTGTAATTCAGCAGCAGTTTACCACACACCAGCTGTGTCTGAACTACTTGCAAGCCTGTGTTCTGAATCATTTTCTTATCTATTTGCACATAATACAGAATCATGTTTCTATGGTTAAGCTGGAAATCAATCAAATAAAAATTATGAAAAAAGATTTGTAAAGGGATTGAGGAAAGGTTACTTTTAAATTACGTTTCAAATTCAGTTCTGAGAGGATTTGGTTATCAAATCCCAGACTCATAACTCACCCTCACGAAGCACACCATTCATTTCCTAGTCAAATAGGATTTGATTCATCTCACACGTAAGAAAAGGAAGGGCACAATACGCTCTGAGCAAAGCCTGACCTCGGCACATACAGGGTAGGATGCTCGGCCACTCTTCTGCAACAGCAGGGCCCAGCACAGGCTCTGGACACCACAAGCTGATCACTGACCTCTCCATCGCTGTCAGATATAACAATAAACGCATCCACAAAACTGCGCTTCTTCTTGGCATTAGCTGGGTTCTTCTTCTCTTCCTCCTCTTCCTTCCCATCCTGACCGCGAGAGTCCAGGCCCTCTGTGGGCTGCTTCTTCCTCGGCATCCTTCACTCTGAAACAGAGGGAAAGATTAAAAGCCATTTGTTTCCTTCCGATTTAGAACTCCCTTAACAGCCATCCTTTTTTTTTTTTTTTTTTTTTTCTTATTACAAAGCATGGTGGATTTAGTGTTATTGGGAGCCACATGTACTAGTCACCACTCATCTAGTTATGAATACTTTATTATTGCTGATTGCTAAGAAGGGGTTTCAGGGGAACGGCAACACAGACCAAAGCCACTCTGAATGCCCTTGCTTCAAAGCAATGAGGCTTTCGTCTTAAAGCTATCAGCAAACTCCTCCACAGCATCACTTCACAGCAGGTCTCCCACCCTCCAACACAGCCCAGAACTTCCCCTCCTCAGCCTCACCCCTTCACCATCCTGGTGCAGAACAAACCAGGCTGTGGCAGTGGATCAAGCTGAAACTTGCATGCCAGAAGAAGAAGCCACCACAGCACAGCCATTTGTCAGCTTTTATATTCAACAACACAAGGGGGAAAAGGCATGTTCCTCAAAGGATGCTGTTTTGCTCAGCAGCTCAGTGGAAGGCTGCACCCAGCACTATAAAAAGGGAAAATGCAGGAAACGGCTGTAGGCAGGTTAGAAACAAGACAACAGGTTTATCTCACAGCCTGGATTTCTCAATGAGCATCAGCCCCCGGAAGTCCTCTGCACAGACATGCCTGAACCATTCGTATTAAAGGCACTTGACAAGCAGGGAGGAACCTGCTGAGCATTATTAGTGCAAACCTGAGTGCTCTACGAGCAGCACAATTGAGGGCAGGTGCCCACACAATGCAAGCTAGTACTTCAGCATCTCCTTCCCTTGCCAGCCCATAGACTGTTGGAGAGAAGCTCAGCAAGCATTAGCTGCTTTGATCAAAAAGGACTCAGACGAGAGGATTGGGAAAGGTGGAGGAGAGCAGCAGGGCGGCACACAGAGTTAAATCACCCTCTCCTGTCTATGTTTGCTGTTTGGCAAGTAACTCGACAACAACATTCAGAGCTTCCTGAACTGTGATCTAAAAGAGCCTTAAAAAGCAGGCTGAGCACAACCAGCTCTGTTTAAGTTAGAATTAAACATGTGCAGAACGGTTAAGCAACAAGCCCTTCGTTACACACCAGAGAATGGCAGAGCTGGAAATGCAAGTCAAGTTGGCCGGTTCCCAGACCAGTGTCCTTCCACAGGATCATTCTGCCTTCCTTCAAGATCACTGAAATAGCTCAAATGTGCTGCTTAGATCTAAAATAAGAGTAAGAGAAGATGCGACAAAGACCCTACATTACCCAATATAGAGCCAAACCCTTCTCTGTAACACCACAAAATTGCAAACAGCCGCTGTGTGTAGAAATACTAATGAGCAAGAAGTTCAAAATCCCCATCAGTGCTAAGAACAGCAGTGCATTGCTCCATCTACAGTCCGAGGCAGCAAGGTGAGGCTGAGAGGAATGCATGCCTTCCCTCCCTACTATCTGCAGCCTTCAAAAGCTTCCTTAGCCTCTCTGCCTCCCTTCCTCTGCAAATACACGCACACACATGCCTAGAGACAAAAGATGATTATCCTGGTGAGTCATGATTTGCACCAGAAGGTTTGCTGAGCCCTCTGAAGACAGAATATTGTACAAATAGCATGCACAGCTCCAGAGGCAACTGCAACGACCACTGCAGTCCACAAACGTTTGCCTGCTTAGGAAGGGGAAATAAAAACAAGAACTGCTTTTGGAAAAGCACTGGCTCTTGCAAAACAAAGCTGTTCTGCTCCAGCTGAGCTGAACTCAGGTCTTGTTGGAATATCCTCATTATACTTTCTTCATATTTTATCTTCTGCTCCAAACGGTCTCTTTGCCCTCTGCCTGGAGAGATGAACCAAGCTTCACACCCAGCTGCTGAGAAGTACCCCCACAAAGGGAGTCCATCGCTGTAGGAAATGCTCCCTTATCAGAAGAAAAACACTCACACAGGCATTTTGGCACGGTGCTGGGGAGGAGCATTGGAGAACCGTGCCTCCAGTACATGAGCCTATGCAGGGTCACTGGTTTTGGAGAGACAGCCTATAAACCTTTTTACCACCAAAACAAAAACAAACAGCAACAAGCAACTTCCATGCTGTCTTTTTTTTTTTTTTTTTTTTTAAT